TTAACCGAATCGCAGGTTACCGTATCTAGTTAATTACTATGCTCATATGAATATAATAGAGGTAGAGATATAGATGTATTATATATATAGAGAGAGTTTTTGTTCGGCACAACTGTCACGTACGAAATGCTTCGCCCAGCCGCTGCACACTTCATCAAAGGAAATTGAGCTTGAATTGATTTTGCGCAGAAACACACACACTCACACACACACATGCGTGCACTCAGTGTGTGTTACCTTGGCCTAATGTGTATCATTTGGCTGGCATTTATCTGCGACCAAATACACAAAGGGGCGGTAATTTTTTACTGGCTGCCTGATCGGTGCGTGGCATTAAAACAAAGGGGCCAACCACTCCATGGCAACTGAGGTGCTTCGATTCCATTTAAGTTCGTTTTCACTTTTTGCAATTTCTTTACGTTCCGCTTTAGTTCCTTTTTATATCCCCACTGGCAATCACATTTCAGTCATCCTTGATTTCATTTCTATACATTTATTTTATTTTATTTTTTTGAGAACTTATTATGTTGATAGCTGTGGAATTTACAATTTCAGTTTGTATTGATATATTTATTTCTATTATCATTGTCTTACACTTAAAAGAAATACATTAGCAAATTATTAATTTGAAAATGTTTCCTATAGGGATAACCAAAATTTCATATAAACTGATGCCCTAACCTAATTTACTTTAAAACTGTAAGTGAATTAATTAATCAATATGCCAACATTTATTTTCTTACTTTCAATAAAGAAAACATTAAATAAATGACAAGACTTGATGCTTCTTAAATTACTTTTTAACCTAGTTGTATATGCCCTAAATGGGAATGGATTTGCTTTTTAATGAATCTTTTCTCTCTAATAGTCCAATTCTGTGGACATCATTTTCGCTTAAGCTTTACACATATTTCAGTTGACAATCTGGAAAGTCTGCAACAAGTTTACCCTTCCACTTACAAATACAAATGCTGAGAGAGTTGCCCACGCATTTGTTTCAATTTTCATGGAGTAGCAAAAAAGCAGAGCTGAAATTCAGAGTGAGCCACAAACTCATTTACACTTTTAGGCTAAAGCTGTCGGACGCTGAGTAATTTATGCATACAATGGCATTTAAATGCGTTTAGCGACGAGCAACTCAGCCCAGAGTCGAATCGTGTCGAGAGTTGAGTCGAGTTGAGTCAAGTTGAGTCGAGTCACTCGGTCAGTCACATAGACAGACAGACAGACGGAAAGAAAGCATAGCTGGCAATTTGGGTTCGCTTTCATTTTTCACAGCGTCCCTTTCATAAAAGGCAAAACAGTTTCAGCGAAAGGAGGACAGTGGGGGTGATAGAGCGGGGGCTAGAGCTGAAGAAAAATGAGCGTAATGGGTGCCAAAAGCCAAAGAGAGACACGGACGACATTTTATGCGACTTTGGGGAATTGTTTAGAAAATTGACAAATTATGGTCATAAGTGGCACGATTAGTTTCTGTTGGCCAAGTGTCCCAAGGTTGTCGCCTTTTCACTTGGCTTCTTTCCACACATATAGCAGGGAATATTAGGACTACATATATACATCTACATCTGCATATATTTATAGATTGTTTCAGTCGCGCTGCGTGTTATTAATAATTCAATTTGGCTGCCTCACAGCAGGCACAGCGGAGCACGCAACGTTGAGCGAATGCAGCCCACACCTGTTCAGTCGGCGAAAACTGTTCCTGTTCCACATTTTCTACCTAMCTACCTTGGCCCATACACGCTCTGCTCATTATATATTCATGCAAGTTAAGTGCGAAAGCTCATATGGCGGAATAATAAATTGAATTTGGCCCACAAGCCTGCACAATTGCATAAGTAGCTCCACGTGCTATGCCCATTTATGGCATGCTCCTCACTCATTCTCCCTCTCCCACTCTCTCTCTAGCTCTCTGGCTCTCTCTCTCCCTCTCACTCTATCTCTGGGCTCTGCTTGATGTCAGATACAAATGTATCCAAGTCCCGCCACTCACGCAATATTCACCCGCTTCCTGTTATCCTGCAGAAAAGCATTTAGTGCTACTCTTGGCTGCCATTAAAGTCTTAGTTTCGAAATTAACCTGAGATATCGTTTTCGTTAGATTCAATATATGTGAAATTTATATTACGCCAGAGGGCCTGACATGCTCTATAACATATGTAATAAGGATAAATGTGTTAACTGATTTCATGACAGATTTTTAAATATCTAACCTTGGCTTAGAATTAATCAATGCACACTTTTAGCAGAGGAAAAAAAACTAAGGTATGGTATGGTATTTCCATATAAGTAATAATGAATTCGCAGGTAGAATACAAGCCCTACTCTGAACTCGATCGCTCAATAATAAGCAATAAAAATAACTCAGGGAAATGTTGAATTCGATTTTGAGTGGGAATTTTCTTATATATTTATGCTTATGCTTAAAGAAAATATATTTAAGCTAATATTTTTAAAATAAATATAATATTTACGCTTAAAATAAATAGTATGATTATAAACATTGCACTGAATTAAATCGTAGGCATCGCATTAACACTAAGAAAATTAAACTATGATTTTAGATATATAAGTAGTAATTACTTACAACTGTAAAATATATTTTACATAAATATATTGTTACCTCGATAAGCTCTATATATTTATACTGAGTTCTCTGATGGCAATGCAAATATCCTGAAACAAATACTAAATGCAACAATACATAAACACGTTCCACATATGTTTTAGTTTCACTATCATTTATCTCTATCAATTTATGATAAAAATTAAGTTAAATTTTTTTAAAAGATTAGGTGACGCAGATTTCTAGTAGGACGACATGCAGCACATTTCACAGGTGGTTTCGTAGACAACATTAGGACAACTTCGAGTGGATGGTAGCCTCAGCTAGTGCAGATTTGCAACGATACTGATTGGATTAGGACTAGGACAAAATGCAGCACAGTAGACAGTTAGCATCGTTGACAAGATCTGCAGACAGTTTTTTAGCCGAGGGCACCCTCATTTTTTTCCAGTGCAGACTTTACGCCGCTTGTGGCGACAGCTTTTGGTGACTTTGCAGGCCTAGAGAGATATTACTTGAGTATATATGAGTGGAGTCCACCTGCAATGGCTATCTCACCTGGCGGCGATAGAAATCCTTCTTACACTCTGGCAGTCTACACCATGCTCGTGCTGCTTTCATGACCAACTCCTTGGGTTTGAGGCCGCAGTGCTTGCGTCGATAGGCCCGCAGGAAGTTCAAATAGCCATTGTTTGTGATTGGGCCAGGCTTCTGGCACTTGATTCTCTTCGGGCAACATGGCCGGGGCTTCGGACAGCAGGGCCTCGGCTTCGGACAGCGACGCCTCTTGCGCTTCGGGCAGCACGGCTTCGGGCAACAGGGGCGGCGTTTCCTTGGTTTGGGACAACACGGTTTAGGGCAACAAGGCTTCGGTTTGCGGCAGCGTGGTTTGGGTTTCGGACAGCATGGTTTGGGTTTCGGGCAACATGGCTTCGGCTTTGGACAGCATGGCGACGGACTGCTGGGTTGGGGGCAGCATGGCTTACGGCGACGCTTCTTAGGACAAGGTGATGGGCAGCATGATTTCTTCTTGCGTTTCTTGGGGCAACAGCCGTCGTCCTGGTCATCCGTATCATCCGCATCATCCGCATCATCAGCATCATCAGCATCATCAGCACCATCAGCATCATCAGCATCATCAGCATCGTCAGCATCATCAGCATTATCCGCGTCATCCATGGCGTCCATGTCCTCGTCTTCACTCTCGCTGGCCTTATCGCTGCCATTCTCGCTCTCCTTGCTGCTGACATCATTATCATCCTCGCCATCGACCTGCATAAACCGATAGTTCTTCCGTTGAGATGGGGTCAGCCTGTTCCACATCTTGCCACCGGTTATCGCATCAGCTACGTCCAGCCCACGTGCCTGCGCTGCGTAATCTCGCATGAAGTTTACAAACCCATTGTTGGTCACGGGCCCTCTGAGAAAGCTCTTTTGAGCCAACAGAATCGCGCTATCGCCCATTTTCTGTTGAGAAAAATTATAATAAAATCAATAATTTATTAAATTAAATTATATTAAATTTGATTGAATTTAAAGTGTGGAACTAAAATGGATAAGCCAAATATAGATAATAACTCTCGGAATATCACAGCCAGAAGCAGATTCGGAGAATGTTATAGCCCAAAGACCCTATAATTTCCATTGTTTAAGGCGCAAATGAGTAGGAAGGGCAGTGGCAGATAGGGATCTAAGAGTCCCTAGAAGCTTTTCTCTTCAATTGATATGGGCTGGATTTCTGCTTCTATATGAACTCTCCGAATATGTAACATATTATATATAAATATTTCATTTTATTAACGTAAATGCCTTCAATATTCTTATTCAGAGGCATTTGGCTTTGATAAGAATATATAGTCAATCACAAAAGTATTCGTCTCTATGGGCTCCCTATTAAAGTTCGTTTCTGCTCGATATGTAACAATGAAATCAATCGTTTTCTCACAAAATGGGGTAGATTAAATATTTGTACGGCAATTATTGTGCACAATGCTTTGCCTGACAGAGGATTTGTTGTTTTATTAATGGACTAAATTGTGAGAGTAAACATCCCATATGAAGAGAAAGCCTGTCAGATGACTGCAAAAGACGAGAGAGGCACACTTCAAGGCTTACAAAGAAAAAGTCGCTAAAGCCAAGTGGCTTGTAATGGAGCAACCTGTGCTTGGAGAATATGTAGAGGAGAAGTGCATCAGACAGCTAGTTGTAAGGGGCTTCATGCTTTTGATTAAGAAATTGACAAGCAGCGGCAACATTCCCAGCTGAAGATGCGAGAGCTGGGTTGGAGCTGAAAGAGGAATTAACAGCACAGAGGGAGCCTGGCTGATGGCGCACAAGAGGTAAGTGCAGAGGGCGTTGAGCGATTATCATTAGCCGCCAGAATAGTTGCCATTTAGCACGCACAACGAGCAGCAGCATCAGCAGTGGCAAAGGCAATGCAACGTGCAGTTGCAACAATGTTTGAGTAATTGTTTGCTGTTGTAGCAGCAAAGGTAGCAGCAGGAGAAGCAGGAGCAGCAGCAGCAGCAGGAGTAGCAGTGGTAGCAGCTCGACTGATGCAACAAAATTTGCATGCATTGAGCCCTTTGGCCACCCAACCACCCACTCGGCTGCACTGTCAACTGTTGTTGTTGCTGCTGCTGCTGCTGCTGTCTGGTTTGCTGCACGTAGCCGTGCAGTGGCAGCAACTGCAGCAGTAATTGCAACAAACAATTAGCGTCACTTGGATTTATGTTTACGAGCGGCTGCCTCGACATTATCCCGGCAGAGCCAAAGCCCACACACAGAGCACCCTTCACATTACTGTTGATGTTGCGTGCATGTGCAAAGAGAGAATTGATTCAATCACAAACTTTTTTTTGCTCAAAAAAAAAAAAAAAAAAAAAAAAAAAAGGAAAAAAATCCCATTTTTAATATATTGAACTTACCTATTTTTTTGTTTTATAAATATTTATCTTGATACAATTTTAGAGCACATATACAAAATTTATTACACAAATTTCCAAACACAAACTAAAGGGATATAAAATTAAAAAAAAAAAAAATCGGTTGTTTGTTTCACGAGCTGTGACTAAATACTGAACTGCTTAGAAAATGAGTTCCGGTAGCTGTTGTGGGTCACCGATAGATAAAGCATGGAGTACTATGTTTTTAGACTACTTATGTTTTAGACTTAAAATATGAAACCCAGCTACTTTGATTGACCTGGTTTCAGTATACCCCGTAGTGACGGTAATGGGAGTTTAGGTTCATGTTTGTGGTCCACAAAATTTAATATCAACAATGCCAAATTGCAGAGATAAATGAAATATACTTTTTTGTTTGTCTTTATATATCGTATTGGGTTTTCTTATATTTGCTTATAATCGATGATGATAATGAGGTTTTTAGGCGTATGTTAAATGCCGTAAGCACCTGGGATTTCAAGCGTGGAGTAATACGTAAACTGAATAGCAATCTTGTCTTTAAAACTTATCGGGATGTTTATGTATATTAATATTGATAAATAATCATATTAAGTACTTAGATCAGCGCTTGTAGATAAGCAAATTCCTTTGATTATCCTGACGAAGGTCTATGAGACACTATAAATGAGTTTTCGATCTATCAACAACTCTTCAGACAAATAAAACCAATTCAACTTCTTCTTTTGATTTTTATTTATGTGTAGTAGTGGACGTCTTAGTGTTAAAATAATGCTAACAATAAAAATAACAATGAATTTTGAAACATATTCTCAGCAATGCAAAGATCATCGAGTGTTCGGCTTGACATTTGAATGCGCTTTGAGTAGCATTCATTATTTGAGCGGCTTCTTATCGACGGTAAGGGGCATTGCTTCGAATGGACAGACGTACAGATTTATATCCAACTGGGCATAAACAGAACAGCGACTGTTGGTTCAATTTGATGGCGATTAGGATTGTTCTTCTTCTTCTTCTTCAGGTATCAGTGGCTCGCAGCTTGTGAGAATTACGGTTGTCTCTGTGCCCTCTTGATGCGCCCCCCATTTGCGATTTAAGGTAGATTCTATATACTTGCAGCTTGCTCGCCCACCTTCGATAGAAATCGAGTCGGCCAATTGGATTTACTCTCGTTTCATAAAGATCAAGCCCAGGTCTTTGTGATCTTCGTGAAGTTAAACTCAAGCTGCCATTCTGATTGCGCTGCAAGAAAAAGTAGAGTAATGGGAATTATATTTCATATCCCAATCTATCCTTGAGTTGCCGCCAGCTAAGCCCGTTGATTTATGAATTGGACGCGATTGCAACATCAACGCCTCGGCCCAACCAAGCCAAGGCAAGGCAAGGCAAGTCGAGCTAAGCCAGGCGCTAGCGATTGCTTGTAATGAATGTTGTTGCACCATGTAAATGACGTCATTACATGGCAGTGGGGCGTGGCCAGGCGTCCAGCTGAAGGCGGCTTTACAGTATATACGATAGCTCGCGCGCGCCTTGATATTTATCCAGCTAAAATGATTTCTATTTTATTTTTCACTTACCTCAGTTGCAGCATTTGTTCGACTTAAAGTGAAAGCATTTAAAAAGAAAAGTTAGGACTTAAAAAAAATATATATTATTCTTTCATAGGAAAACGTTATGAACTATCCGTGTGTTGAATTGATACTAAATATTTGTGAACAAATTCAGTGCTTAGTTGTGCCAAGTGATGATTGATAAATCGTGGGCTACTATGCTAAGAGAAGAAAATTAAATAAAAAACCGAAGTATATATATTTTGTGTATATACCTGTTGTATCAAATAATGATTGAGAAATCGTGATATTCATAGAGAGATTCATAGAGAGATTTTCTATAGTCATCTATCTAGCATTTGTTAGAGCAGCGTTATTTGAGGGCAGCAAGGAAATCGTTTTTTAGCTGCCAATCAGGCATAAAAACAACAGAAGCAACAAGAAAGGCAAAAACTATTAGAAACTCGGTTCGTTTTGATTGGATTGAATTGGTTGGGCATTGTGGTTCGACTTCGGCGTCGGCTTCCGTGCGACGCCGGCGGATATAAGGAGCACATCCTGTGCGAGCGTGTGCTGTGGTCAGTGCCTTGGCCTCAGCTTGCGCTTAAATTATGTGCGAGAGAGAGAGAGAGGAGAAAAACCTTTTCCACTTTTTACACTATGAAGTTTTTTCTGATTTGACTCCTGCAGCTGTTTATTAAAATTGTAAGCCGCAGGCTCTGCGATTAAAACACACACACACACACACGAGGCTCGAAAGGATACTGGATACATGATTCAGCATTCAAGATTTCATATATGCCAGACGGTTTTCTATTATCTGTAAAATGTTATGATTTATTATATGCGGGTTCAAGTTTATGTTTGGGCCATAAATTGTCTGCCCCCAAGGGGGAATCAGAGACGCTGCCGGTTCTTGGCCATAGTCAGAGTCAGAGTCAGTCTTTGGTTTCTCTCTCTCTCTCCCTCTCACTCTCTACCGGCAGCGGTTAGGCCAATTAATTGGCCTTAGATTTATTAGTTTTATTTTTTACAAGCCTTTTTGCCTTGCAACTCTTTAATAGTGAGGCGCGTATGTGTTTTGATTTATTGCGCGAACTATTTCACCCGAAAACGGAAGTTTAGCTCCTTTGGCACGCACACAGGCAAAGCCAGGTAATAATAGTACATGTGTGTGGGTGTATGACTCTCCCTCTGTATGTGTGAGTTTGTTTGCCCGGAAGGCGTGGCATTTGCATATAAATAGATATGTCACCTAAAATATTAGATACATGCGAATTGCCTCGCTTCGCTGAGCCCTCGAGCCAGACAAGTTGTTGCGTGCTCACCCAGCAACAACAACAACAACAACAATAACAACACCAAGGGCGATAATAATAGCAGCAATAGTGGGAGCAAAGACAATGTCTTGACGGTTTCCCATTAAATTAGTCTTAGTGTCAAATGTGACACCCAAAATGCTGCTGACACTCATCTTAGCCATTCATTGTGTCTAAATTATTAACTAGGTCAAAAGGGAGCACGCGATATTTTTTTTTTTATTATACATATTTTTTTTATTAAGAGTCCCGTAAGGAACTGTCACAACTTGGCAGGTGACCCAAATGTGGGAAGAGCAAATTATGGGATAAGCTGGCCTGGTGGAAAAGTGCTTCATAATTGCAATGTCACATCGTAAAACATGAGAAATATAAATAATTGCTATCTGTAAATGTTGAATTGAAACTGTATTTTATTTACTTACTTTGAGTGCAAAGCACCCAAATCAAATTGAAGAAAGAAAAATTTGTCTAAACTCTTGTAATTCTCTTGTAAAGCTATATTATTATTTATATTACCGGAATTACTTTTTCATATTTAATTATGTGAGGTAGATTAAAAATATTATAACTTTCTAGATATATTTTAGAAATTTTTAAATTTTAATTATGGAATACAAAACATTATTTTAGGCATAGTTCAAATTATTTATTTTAAACTCAATGATTGCAAAGAATAAAAAAATAAT